TGCTGGTAGTTTCAAACCGGAGGCTGAGTCTGTTCACCTCTGGCTGTGCCTGTAGGACGCCTCACCCATCACCCAGCAGGTCCAGGCCGGGGAGTGTCCAAGCCACAGACATGGTGCCTCCTCCCTCACGGGGCCTCAGGCTGGTACTCACATCCCCATGGCACATAGGAAACTGGACGGGCCCTGATGAGCAAGAAAGCTGCAATGCAGAGTTGATGCTGAAATTACCAAATTTTCTAAATTTACTTGTTACCCAATTTAACGACAGCAAATATTTGCACAATGAAAAGGAATGACCCCTCGTCACCAACCCCGGCATGCCTTGCCTCATGGTTCTCCTTCTCCCCTGCCTCTGCCCAGGGGTCAGCTTTAAGGTGCAGGATGCATTCAGGGGTGGGGAGGCCTCAGGCCTAACTGAGCGGACGCCAGCCTCCTTCAGTGATGCACAGTCCTGCACAGTCCACAGGTGTCCCCTGGATGTCCACCGGGCCCCCGGGAGAAGCACAAGCTTGTCCAGGGAGGGCTGAGGGGAGAACCTCGCCCTGTGGAGAAGCTGCTTGGACAAGTACCGCGGGGAGAACATCCGCACCTGCAGGGCCCGATGCCGGCAGAGCCGCCTTGTGTGGGGCGAGAGGAAGGGGTGGTGCTTGTCTCTCCAGAGATGGAAGGAGAAGGGCATGAAACAGTAAAATAAACACCAAAAGACGAGGTGTGTTTGCGACTAAGTGAAAACCAACCAAGGAGAATGCCTGGCAGGCAAGCCTAGAAAACAAGATGTCAGAAAATGTCTCCTTTGTTTCTGAAAATGCCAATCATTTCTAACCTTGATAAGCAAACAGAATTTTGTTTAAAATTTAGTAAAACACCACCATCGTCAGCATCAGCACCATAATCATGATTATCAAGGACAGCAGCCACCCCTCAGAACTAAACTAAGTTGCTGACAATGGACAGGTTCCCTTTCTCAGCCGCCTTGAAGCCGTGTCCGGCCCCAGAAACAAATCTCAGTGCCCCACCCCCACCCCCCACCCCCGCTTGCCACCATATTGCTGACAGAGCTCCCGAGGGCCTGGTGCTGAAGACGGGAAACTCACGAATGCCTTTGTAAGCGGCAGCTTATTCAGTGGAAGATCAGTTGCAGGGGAGTCTTATCGGGCCAAATCCTTGTCTACATCAAATACTTGGGTTTTACTGGCCGAGTGCTGTATAGATGCAGTAAAATCTTATGACCACTCTGTCTTCCTCGCAATAAACATCCACTTTAGCAGCTGGGAGGGGAGAAGGAGACTGGGTTCTCCGCAGCGTCCGTATCCGTAACCCAGAGTTCAGGTGGCAGCTGCGCAAGCCCAGTGCCGGCGCGGGCAGCAGCCGGGAGCAGCCCATCCCAGACCCTGGCTTCTGAGCGGTACCTCATCAGCAGGGGCTGCCTGGCCGGCCACACAGGGGAGGGTCAAGGCCAGGCCGCTGCCGGAGGTCACGGCCCTGCTTCCCTTCGCACCTTTGCCTGAACAATCACCAGACAGGCCGATAGTTTGTAAAGGCCCAATGACAACCTAAAATATTACAGCTGATCTGCTTTCTTAATACAAGTGAAAGGGAGTCACCATGGAGATGTGAGGAGTGGCCCTGAGATAAGCAAGCCCCGGGGGCTCATGCCATGGAAGGATGAGGACCAGCTGCAGAAACATGAGGCATGAACTGTCGTGTGTGCAGGACACACACACTGTCGCGCACACACCTCTCACACACATACACTAGGGACCATCACCATCCAGGAAAACGGCGACTAAAAGTCAGCCGGGCTATAACCTGGAGAGTAACGATGGGGAAGTCGGCCGGGCGGAGGCGGCGTGTTTTCTCCTGGGCAGGACAACGAGAAGCTGTCCCTCGGGCACCAGTGTCAGGGAAGGACCAGGCTGGGAGGGGCTTGGGGGGAAAGGAGTGAGAACCAGGGCTCCTTACCTCCTCTCCAGCCTGGATGTCTCGGACGGCGCGTAGTAGGAGGTGGGGCCCGTTGAACACGATCGAACAGTTGGGGTCACAGCTGTGATTGAGCAAAGACATACTGGAGGAAAGAAGAAAAAAGGGGAGACCATCACAGCTCAGCAGAGTCCAACATCTACATGCAATGAATACAATTCACTTGGGGGAGGGGCTCAGGCGAGGCTCAGGGCCCAGCAGGGAGCCTCGGGGGCGCTCACAGCAAGGCCACTAGCCACTGCCTCGTCACTGAAATCTCCCCGGGATGGAGGCTAAGTGGGGACGTTTGTTAATAAACACGTTTTCTGAGTCCTCTTTGGGGGTGGGTGGGGGTGGGGAGGAAGCGGTTGTCTGCTTAGGTACCAGGCAGTGAGACAACCCGATATAAAGACGGAGAAGACAGCCGTGCAAGCACATCCCCACCCCCGAGACAGGTAATGGGACACGGCCGTGTCCCTGCGGCCAGCACAGCTGACCTTCCCACGGGACCTCGTCTGTTCAGCCCGGGAGGAGCAGCCCCCTCGGCTGGGGCGTCGCAGCTACTATGAGTAATAGACCTTCCTCCTCAACAGACGCTGCGGTTGTCTTGCTAACTGGACCCGGTGCACCCTGGGCCTGGCCAGTGATTTCATCTCCCTGCAGGTGGCTTTTTTACCACCCGGGGAAGGGACTAGATTGAAGCTGCCTTCATATCTGACAACACTTAGAACACCTGCCCGTGAGCCTTTACATGTAGAAAGCACTTTCTGAGCAGCTGAGCATGTTTATCAAGTTTGATCACGTGATCGTTCTTACGCGGGGCACTCACAGGTAAAGAAACGACACGTGGAAGTGAGGTGACTGCCCCAGGACTCAGCTAGTGAGTGGGACTGGACTTGAGCCAGGCGTCTGATCTCAGAGCACCTGGCTGCACCCCTCTGCTCTCCAAGGCCAGCGCCAATGGCCCTGCGGTCCGACACTTGTGAGATGTAAGAGAAGAGGCGGGATTCTCAGGTTCACAATTAATTACACAGTGATGAGGTTTGTATTCGGACCCTCATGGCGTGACACTAGGAGTGACGGAGAGCGTGTGGGGGACAGGCTGGTGGCTCAGTGATAAAGGCCACCTCAGTGACGGCCAGTGTCCGGCCTCCTGGAGCCCTGGGCTCGAGTGAGCTGAGCCAAAGGACGGAATGAACGGGTGGTGCAGTCGGGGGCCTGGTGAAATGACCCAGTGTTTCAGCCAGGAGGCTGGGGAGCGGGAGGGGACTAACCAACCTCATCCTGACGCGGTATTGGCACCCACAGCCCCACCTTCTAACCCAAGTTCCCGGGAAAGGAATTCAGGTCTGAGGGCTGCCTCTTGGCTAACACCACGGTGACTGTCAACCTTCTGTCGCCCACGGCACACATAAACCGATTACTAAAATTCTGCGGCGCACCAAAAAATCTATTTGTTGCCAATCTGACAAAAAAATATAATTTTGATTCAGCCACACTAGACGGCTATGGTTGTGTAAGCTGTTGCCATTTTTTAATCTGAGAATCGAAGGGAAAAGAGGTCAGTGCCCCTGACTGGTCAGGTGTTGCATGTTCTAAAAATCCTTGAGGCACACGGTTGAAAAGCACTGCCACAGCATGTAACGTGGGGTTATAGAGTTGTTTTCGTTAAACTAAACATTTTCCGTTTTCTTGTAAATTATCATCGGGTTTTAAGCCTGGCTCTCCAACTAGCTGCTGCAATAGCCTTTCTACTGCCCCCCAAAGGCTGGGGCCCGGGGGTGGGGATTAAAGTTGCTTCTCCCAGAGAGAAATGCCATACCTGGGGTACAGGCCCACGCCGACCTCCTGCATCTCCGCGTTGCAGATGGTGAAGGAATTGCAGATCAACTGCAGAAACAAGGGGGACAGTGGGGTTAGCAGAGTCACCCAAGAAACTTCTCAAAATAAACGCGGGCCTTTGACTGGCAGCTTTGGCGAGGTCCAAGCCAAACCCGGATGCTTTTTCATCTGCGAAAGAACATACCTGGGCAGCACGTAAGAGCATATCGGTGGGTGAGGACAGACATACCAACATCCTGTAAAAAGCCAGGCGCCAGCCAGCACCGGGCCTGGGGTTTCCGTGTGCCCTCTCCCGTCAAGTTACATATGTTTTCTTAAGTTGATTTCAGAGGCCACGGCCAGACATGGCGCAGCCAGTGGTTTCTGGGGGTCAACACCAGAAGCGGATACCCTGGACAAGGTTGGACCGCCCAGGGCCGCAGCTCCCGGCCCACAGCGGACAGCAGCCCCGAACCAGAACATGGGCCGCTGCACCCTGTCTTCCTTGCATTTGCCAAAGGGAATTAATTACTTAGGAAGCTTGTGTACAAATTAAAAAATTACAGAAGGCTGAAAGGCACAGGGGCTTTGAGAGCTGGGAGGAAGGCCTCGCCGACGTGCGAGCGAGACTGGGCCAGCGCCACTGGGCTTGGAGGGCGCAGTCAGGGCTGGAGGCAGGTTCCTGCGAAAGGACGCAAAGTCTAAGAAAGCGCGAGTCCTGAGACTCTCCCTCTGCTCCGAAGAGCTTTTTATGAAATCCAGCGCAAGCTACACGATTTGGCATTTTTCCTCCAAAAGTCTGACAACGCTGCAGTTTCTAATCGGGAACTAAACTGGTGTACATACACATATTTTAAACACGCTCTGGCTAAACTGCTTTAAAGGCATCTGTTTCACATTAAGTTGAAACAGTGTACTGCCTATACTTTTTTATGTATAAAATGGATGGTAAAAATATAGAACAAAAAAATCCTGTGTTTTCTTTTTGAAACTTTAAACTTTTAAAAATGGGTATGATCTTTTTGGGGGGTGGGATATGAATACTTTTTTTTTGTCTTGTTAATCCTCACCCGAGGGCATTTTTTCCATTGATTTTTAGCGAAACCGGCCAGGGCTAATACATATTTTAAAAGTGTAATCAGGAATTTAACTGAAGCAACCCACCAATGAAAAACCAGATCAAAGAGATCTAATTTGCAAACTTTCAAATCAAATGAAAACTGAATTTTTTTCTGAACTGTGAAGCAAATTCAAGGTTTTTACAAAATAGGTCTATACTGATGGAATTATTTTTTTAAGGGGCTACCGTGTTAACTTAGCTGTCTCTTCCTCCAGGAACTTCACCTGATCCCCAGATGTAGCTGACTTTAGAGAAAAAAAAATTATCTTTCTTGTTGAAAGTATTAGAGGTGCCCCTCCTCCCAGGCCCTCACCTTTTAGAGCATGTATCACACTGGACCATTACCCACCCGTTTCCTGGACACCATACACAACTAGACTGTGAAATGCCCAGAAGGCAATGCTAGCGTTTCACTGACCACTGTTCCCGGGTCTCCCACTGTGCCCGGCACATGAAGTGACCAGCACACATTTGTTCTGATAGATGGATGGTTACATGGGTGTGACCCTCAATATGCCCAGGGGGGTTGGGGGTGTCATTATCCTGAACAGGATGAGAACAGAAACAGAACACAGGCGCTGTGAGGGGAAGGGGACGCAGTTCTGTGCCACGAGAAGGAGGAGAAGTTCATCGTCCATCTCTCTTGTCCTTGGGCACCAAGTCTCTGTATGTCCTGCTCATACCACTGCGCATCCTTTCTCTCCATTCTAGGTCAACTTTTTCACCTTCTTTTCCGTCAGTTCAGTGGGTGGGATGGCAATTTTATCCACCAGAAGAACACAAGGACTAGTTTGATTCTCTGCTTAAAATTCCCAGAGCCTCACACATTGGGCACAAAATAAATATTTGCACATGAATAAAAGAATGAATGAATAATGATAGCCCCCATGTTTCTCTCCTCCCCTTCCATTTCTCTTGCATCTTTCCCTTTTATTCCTCATTTTCTTTCCTTCTTTTTCTTTCCCTATTTTCATTATTATCAACTTGCCACCCTCATCCCTCATTCTGCCCCACTCCACAATATGAGTGGGACATTTTAGTTTTATTTCACAAATCCTAGACAAGTTCCTCATTTGTATTATTCTGAGAGGAGTTATGTGCTAGCGTTCCTGCGCTAGTGAATAAAAATTTTAATTTACCTACTCTCACTTCCATTAAAAACATCGGTGCCACTCAGCACTATCTGAATTAAGGACACTGTACAGGGAATCTTTGTGACAGATGTAGCTGAAGCAATGTGGACATGAGGGCACTCTCGGGGTTTTCTCTTTTAAATGAGAAGACAGGTAGACAAGTCTGTATGTGCTCAGGTGAAAACATGAAAATAATTGCTCTTTGTACCAAGAAATGAAATAATGGAAACACAGCCCAGAAATAAAAGTTTGAACAGTTTTTCAAGCTACTGTCTTTGTATAAACAATTTTCCTAGAAAATTGCATTTAGGAAAGTATATAAATGGGATTACAGTAGCCCTCAGTCCTTGGTTTTGCTTTTCAAGGTTTTGGTTACCCATGGTCCACTGTAATCCAAAAATACTAAATGAGAAATTCCAGAAATCGACAATTCACATTTTAAATCTCGCACCTTCCTGCTCCATCCCGCTCCGTCCGCCCAGGCCCTGAATCACTTCTTTGTCCAGCGTCTCCATGCTGCATGTACACCCGCCCAGTGGTCACCTAGTAGCCGCCTTGGTGATCAGATGGACTGCCAGGTGTCTCAGGCCACGTTCAAGTCGCCCTTATTTCACTACTCATGGTCCCAAAGCGACAGAGGAGTGAGGCTCGTAATTCGGATATGCCATAAAGTGCTTCTTTCAAGGAAAAAAGTGAAAGTTCTCAACTTACTAAGAAATAAATTGGATGTTGTGGTTGCTAAGACCTACAGTAAGACCGATTCTTCTAGCCATTAAATTGTGAAAAGGCTAAAGAAATACGTGCTAGCTTTGCTGTCGCAAGTCAAACCGCAAAAATTGTAGCCATAGTGTGCGACAATTCTTAGTTAAGATGGAAAAGGCATTAAACTTTACAATAGGTATGTTTGTGTAGAGAAAACAAAACCTAGTATATCAGGACTCGGTACTGATCCTGGTTTCAGGCATCCAATGGAGGTCTTGGAACCTACCAAGGGGGCTATTGTCTATAATAATAAAAGCATAATATGCTAATTAGATCGGGCAGCCGAACAACTTTCTGGATGTCATTCTGGACATCCTTTTGGACTAAGCCGTGGCAGGAGGGCTGAGGCAGAGGCGGTTAGGGGAGATCAGGTAGGCAGGCAGAGTGGTTAGGGGCGATCAGGCAGGCAGGTGAGTGGTTAGGAGCAAGCAGTCCTGGATTGTAAGAGGGATGTCCCACAGGCTTGGGCCTAACCGGCAGTCAGACATTCCCCAAGGGGTCTGGGATTGCAAGAGGGTGCAAGCCGGGCTGAGGAACCCCTTCCCCCGCCCCCTCCCCCGTGCACTAATTTTGTGCACTGGGCCTCTAGTATTTAAATAAAAAAGCAATTCTTTCTGAAAAGTAAGCTTGAGTGTTACCTTTAAAATATTTCTCCTGCCAGGATATTAAAAAGTCATATTTACTCTTCAAAATTTTTCCTTCAAGATCATCAAAAGCCTTTGTAACTCTGCAGCCTCTCTAGATGATAAAAACCTAGTAGGCTAGTACAAGGCCACTGAGCCTCTGTATTTTGTGTAAACAACTAAAGTGAAATTTAAAATATTCTATGAACAAATTCTTTCGTCATTTGGTTCAGATTCGAGGTCCAGAAGCTGAGGCTTGGGTTCTGAGGTTAAAATTCTCCTGTAATAATTAATACCAACACTCAAGGGGAATATTTCAGAGACTTGTTTTATATTCGTGTTTAAATTTCACGTGCTCCTCTAATTTTCTGAACCAGAAGCCTTTTTTTGTAGCAGTAGGTAAACAGAAAGATGACCTCCCCCATTACCTTGAATGGCAAAGCTACGCAGCCCTCAGAACACTTACAGCCAGTTCAGAACACGGTGAGTGGACACCCACAGAACACCGTCCCCTTCAGCCCCTCCCCCAGTCACTGGTGTTTACAAAGAGCCTGCTCTGTGACCATGTGGCTTTAGCTGGCTTCTAGCCTACTTCAAAGATTGCTTTGTATTTCAAATATATATATAAATTTTAAACCATAAAGAAGGGAACTCAGTTTCTGAACATAAAGTTTCCTCAAAGACCACCTGCATCTCCCTTACAACTTCTCTACTTAAAGCATAAGTAGAGTGACTGTTCCGGACACAGAACCTTGGACATGTAGCTTATGAACTAGAGGGACTGAATGTACATTTTCAAAAGGGAATGTGCTACGTTTAGGCTCATTAAGCTCTGTGTATAGAAGGAAAGAACGTAGGGAGGGTTGGCAGGTATGAAAACCAAAAGGAGAGGTTTTCATTCAAAACTAGAGGCCTGATGCACAAAATTCGTGCAACAGTAGGCCTTCGTAGCCACGGCAGCTGCCTGGATCCTTCCCTCACAGCCGCGGTGGCTGCCTGGATCCCAGGGCTGCAGCCCAGGCTTCGCCTGGAAGGGCGTCCGGTCTAATTAGCATATTATGTTTTTATTATTATGGATAACTGCCCCTCCCCTGACTCCCAGAACTCATCACTCTCTAACTTGACGAGCACAGTGAGCATTTCAGTCAGGGCCTGTCATTCTCCTCTTCTGGAGTACGACACTGTATTTAACACAGCACCTTCTCATAAACCTTAAGAGATTCCAAATCTTACCTCCTGGTCTCTCCCGTGAGCATGGCACATACTCATCCACCTTCTATGACTCGGGTTGGGCCTGCCCTAACCCCGCCCTCCTCCGCTCACTCATTTACCGTCTTTCCTGGCCCTACAACCAAGGTTTTGCAATCTCCGGCCCAAGGAACAACGGGAGGATGGGAGCTCAGGACTGAAGAGGCAGCATTTCCCAAAGGA